TTTTTTTTTTTTTTTTTTTTTTTTTGTGACAGGGTCTCAGTCTGTCATCTAGGCTGGAGTGCCGTGGCATGATCACAGCTGCAGGCTCAGGTGATCCTCCCACTTATCCTCTAGAGTAGCTGGGACTGCAGGTGCACACCACCACGCCTGGCTAATTTTTTTGGCCGGGGTAGAAGTGGAGTCTCACTCTGTTGCCCAGACTGGTGTCAAATTCCTGGGCTCCAGTGATCCTCCTGCCTTGGCCTCCCAAAGTGCTGGGATTGCAGGTGGGAGCTGCCATGCCCAGCCCTGTTCTGTCCAGCCTAGCATGTCTTTTATGTTAATTTTTTTCTGGACTGACGTCTCAGATGTGCCTTCATTTCCTTTGCACTTCTCCCTTAACACTGATTTATTTCAGATGTTTGGAAGATAATGGTTGGTGTGGTCTCACTACTGAGGTGTTGGTATTGATGGGAGATGTGAGAGCACTGGGGTGTGGAGCTACCTGGACATGTTCAGGGAGGCCTGGTGCCCTTTCTGTGTTGTGGCCCTTTCTCATCAGTGAAGGGGGCTTTTGTCGGGATTGAATTGAACAGTGTACAGAAAGCATCTGGCACCTGACAGGTGCTAAGTAAATGTCCGCCCCACCCCCACATCCCTTTCATGTTCTTCTTGGTCCATGACCCTGGTGGTTAAAGTCAGGGAGGCTCTTTGGTGATGGCCCAGGTTCCACAGTCACTGCCCTCTTCTGGGCCTGTTCTATCTTAATTGAATACAGGAAAGTCATAATCCTCCCAGTCAATATTGCAGTCCCCCCAGGGAGCTGATTTCAGGTGTGTTGAAGGAAATCAGTCCAGTTAAAGGAGTTTGTTTTGAGGTAGGTGAACGAATGGATGGTTGGGTCAGTGAGGCTTAGTTTTCCCACGATACAGTATTTAGCTGCAAATGCAGTGTTTAACCCATTTGGACCTTTAAATGATACGGTCTCTTTTGATGGTGGTTCTTAGTTTTTTGCTTTCTGACAGCCGTACTCCAAAAAATAGGCCATTGCAGCACAGCATCCCTAAAAGTCTAATTTCCTGGTGTACGTTTATATACTTTTGTCTCCTTTTCATCTTTGATCCCAAAGTGTCCCGGTGAGATCAGGACAGACATTTACTGAAGCCTGCTTTGCAGTGCAGCAGGCAAAGCCGCTGAAGCGCTATGTGAAATTCCCGAGATCACGTCTTGTTAAAAGTACACAGAACTTGTTTTCTGGGCTCCTAGGCAAGCATGCTTTCTACTGCAATGCTAGTCCCATTCACTTCATTTTTATATTATTTTCTCTCAATTATAATCTTAGCAGTTATCTAGAGTCTTACTAAGTGGGGCTTTCCAAAGCTTGCTTTAAGATGCACAGATTTGCCAAAATGAATTAGCCTTCTTGTCACTGGGGCTTCTGTGCTGAAGGTGGTGTGGGGTGGGTGGAGACGCTGCCTGAGCACAGAACGTGCTGTACCAGCATGGTCTGTGTCACTTACATGAGCTTGTGCCTCCGAGTCTTCCTGTGTCCAGTTGTTAAGGTCAGTGAGTTAGTTAACGTAATAGGCATAGGAAAGAGCTGGCCCACAGTAAGCGCTCATTGAAGGCTCATTATTTACGTACAGAAGGAGATTTTTGTGTTGAAATTCTGCTCTTCGTTTGGCTGGCTTTTCCTACCACTGCAAAGTTCTTTGCTGTTGCTGGATAATTTTCTGATCCACATTTTTCCACGTCTAGCAGTAGTCGCATGGTGGCAGCTTTTTGAAAGGCGTGTGGGGCATTAGGAAGCTGAGGGCAGGAGAGAGGGGCACAGGCTGAGCGTCTGAGTGCAGGAGTCTTCTCAGCTACATGGGTCATCTCAGATACGAAAATCTGCACCAGCTGGGGCCGGGCGCAGTGGCTCACGCCTGTAATCCCAGCACTTTGGGAGACTGAGGCAGGTGGATCACGAGGTCAGGAGATTGAGACCATCCTGGCTAACACGGTAAAACCCTGTCTCTACTAAAAATACAAGAAAAAATTAGCTGGGTGTGGTGGGGGGAGCCTGTAGTCCCAGCTACTC